AGAATCTAACTGCTACAAGTATAAGTGTTAGAATACAGCCAGGACAGATCACTAGATTACTCAAACATGCATGGATGACATCTAAAACCTCTTCAGGCATGTTTTTGATTAGATTTTGTAGAATACCCCTCTTTAAGAATGTCCAAAATATCATCTACATTATTAAAATAAAGTAAAAAAAACAACAACACAATCACGCAAAACCCAATCTAAAAATGCTACTTGCATGTGAAGGTAAAACCGCCTACCTGTTCTTGATGTGATAATAGATGGCTAATGCCACGCTGCAATAGAGGCAAAAGCCACAAAATGAATTACTGTATGAAACTGTACTGCATCGTCTTCTTCTTCTTTCCTTTCTCCACCTGTATTTGCTGTCCTCACGTTGCCCTGTTCAAATTTTCCACGCGTTCAAATTCTGACTTCTGACTCTCAGTTCTTCCTAAAGCTCAAAATCCTCACGCTTACCTCAACAATACCGTTCGATCTGTCGTATGAGCTTTGAACTCACCATTTGATAGTGCTCTTGAGGTTGGGCTGGCTGACTGTGCTGTCGTCTATGAATATTGTAGAGCAGGAGCTGTACTTCTTTGTTAAGAGTCCCGGAGACATCTAATTGGAAGAGGGAAATGAAACAATTAGAATAATCAAAACACATTAAGGATAGAAAGTAAGTTCACCTCGTTTAGTTGAATTGGTAACATCATTTTTTTTGTTTTTTTACCCCAGCCAGAGTTTCCATTTAATAGAGGAGACTATACTCCCTCCATAATCTAAAATTTTCCCTCATGGTCTAAAACTACCTGGACTGCAATAGACCCAAAAAAATCATTCTTTGTTGCCCCACTTTGTTGTCTTACCATTCTTATCATAAACTATACTGAACAAAAAAAGGACAAAAGGACTACTTTACAATTAAGCATAGGCAATAAACATAATTTATAAGTCACAAATTGTATAAAAAGAAATTATTAAAGTCTAAATTATTTGGGCCACGATAGTCTCTTCAGAATCTATGGTAGAAACTCCATGCACAGCCATTTGTGTCTTTGCTCACCAATTTATATGGCTTGCTCAGTAAAAAAAGAAGATTAATTACTTAAAATTAAATTAATATGTAATCTAAATTGCAGAAAGTTAAAAAAAAAAAAGTCAGTAAATGTATTTAAAAGGTAAACTTTGGGTTGACCAACACTTCACTGCAATTTGAAATGTCCACAGTCTATGACAGAAAGAAAGCTGAAATGACAAATACAATACAAATCTCATACTTGCATTATTCCACAGAGCACAAAATTCTCATCCATAAAACAGTGCAAAAAGATCACACTGCCTTGTAAAATCTCGCAGCAACGTTCCTGTTTATAATAACACTACGTCTCTTCATATTGTTCCTTTTTATAGCATGTAGTAATGTCTGTTATTGGTCCACTGGGGGAGATCAACAACATTCAAAAGGAGACAAAAATGTGGTTTCTGCAAGAGCTGAACAAACTCTACAAAAGCAACACAACTTTATATTCAAATCTAAGTTTGAAGACAGTTTCTATTACAAAGATTGTGAATGTTGTCACTGTAAACCCTCAGTAGTCCAGGTGCAAACATGGCAATGAAGCTCAGATAGATGTATAAGCAGAACTGTGTTAGAACAGAAAAAGCCACTGTCCAGTTGACAAAATCCACCTGTATTTAAATATAAAATCTTTAAAAGTTTGCTTATACTTACATGGTTAAGGTAGTTGCTTTTTCTCTTCTCCCGCACTAAAACAAAGAAGAAAAAGAGACGTATATGAAGTTCAATCATTACTTTCCAAGTGTCAAGTGTGTGATTTCAATAGTAAGAAACAGACTTGATACTTAATACTGATTCAGATACTCCAATGACAATAAAAAACACTTTAATTAAACAATAGAATGTGATTTTGATCTGAACCGTACATTTCAATAACACCGTACCATCTGTCTGGGACTTGTTGAGGAAGAGGGTGCTTGCTCTTGGATGGTCTGACGGATTCTCCTCTTGAGCCAGTTCTATAACAAAACAAGCCCAAACATTAGCACAGTTTGCACAGCGGTCACAATCCGCACATCTAACACACCGTCCGGGAGCTCTCTGTCGCTGATGTGCTGCAGGTACGTCCCCGTGTCCTCGCTCAGGTCCTCCGCAGTGGTGATGGGACACTCCTCCAGCTCTAGCTCCCTGCGGTGGAGCTTGGGGCTGTCCCCCGGAGAGATGCAGCAAGATATGGACCCCCCCATGGCTCTCCTAATACGCTTCTATCGTCCCTAGTGTTTCCATGCAACTAGAATTTACATTGAGCTGTGTGCTATGAAACGCAACTATTTCAGTCACAAAATTAAGGAAGACATTAGATTTTTTTTAAGGAAGTGATTTTTAGTGGAACAAATTGAATGGAATGGAATACTTATGGCTTTGGTCAAAAAAAGTTCAAAGCACTCCTAAAAATTATTGTACAACTTGCATAAGAACTAGGATTTAACCAGGTCTAACTTGGTCCAGACATAAAAATTACTTGAGAACTAAACAAATTTTTATTTCATCTTAAATGGTCCTTCTGATTTTTGTACCGTTTCAATTACACAAAAATAATAACTCATGGTCCAAGCCTGTCCTTCACGCCTCTGATATGAAAAGTGAAATTTATTAACAAATTCTAGCACCTTACACGATAGCTGACATATTAAAAGGGCGTGTGCTTCGCTGTGGCGCACTTCTCCGCAAAACAAAATCACAATACAGTGTCAGAAAACGTTTGGTGCAATTGCCAACGCCTAAGAATTCATTTTAACCACAGATAGAGTAAGAGCTGGTCGCAGGTTTCTCTATCTTCCTCCATGGCTAGCTGCTAACACTAGCCTCCGCACCTCAGTCCATTCTCGGCTCCTTCAGCGGCGCGAATCGGCCCGGTTCGAAATGGCGAGACCGAAAAATGTCCTAGAAAACAAAAAAACAGTATGGAAATGGTTGTATAGCTGGTCTACATGGAGGGAAATGAGTGGAAGAGTAGTTTTAGAGGGTTTTGGGTGAAATGTTGGACGTTAGCACGCATCCCGTCGCATTTCCAGCATTGGAGACACGTCTTGCTGTCAAAAAATCTCATAAGAAGGATTTTAGTATAGCGTCAACTTCCGCTATTTCAAAATAAAACTGCATGAAATTTAAGAAGAAAAAAAGAAGAAAAAAGAAATTGCATTTGACAGATTAATTAAGATATTTTTTTTATAATTATGACTTGGACCATGTACATTTTAGTGCTACAAAAAAATCTTCTTGGGCTTTTACTTTACTTATGGCACGCCGAGCCATTTTATTCCTTCACATTCACAGTGGTTACAAGATGTCATGTCCTGTCTAAAGTTAGAAAAAATTTGATTTTCCCTGAAACAAAATATTAGTGCATTTGAGAAAACATGAGGCTGTTTCCTGCAGTTGTATTCAGCTCTTTAAAAAGAATAGGAAAAGAATAGGCTGTGATATTTGAATAATTACAGCACATGGTATATAGTTATTCTACCTGTGCGGTGACAGGGTGGGTGGGGGTTTGGATTTGGGTTGTTTTACGTTTTTTTTTTTTTTTTTTTGTCTTGTTTTTTTTTTTTTCTTCCATCTATTATTATATTTTGGACTTCTTTTTTTCTCCAGCTCTGCAGAACTGACATTTGTGAGTTTGTTACCTGCCAGTAGCATGTATAAATGTATATATTTGATATTTTGAAAACAATAAAAATATTTTGATTGTATATATATATATATATATATATATATATATATATATATATATAAAACTTGGTTTGATGGGATTTCATGATAATTTTACATCTGTTTAAGGGCACATATTATAATATTTTCTAATCTATGTTATGGTGTTGTTTCTTCCTCAAAAATATACCTGGAGTTATATTTTGTTTCATTCTCAGACGTTTAACACGCAAACCCTGTATATTTAGCCTGAGCTCTTCTTTAAAAAACATAAAACACTCCAATTTATGATATTATGTAGTAGCCTAATACAGGATATGCTCCACTCTGTTTTTAAACTTCATACAGCTTCTATGCAATAAGTTGGATCATTTCAGCCCAGAAACTGTCGATCTCTACTAAACGAAAGGTTAAAGTAAAACTGATCATTTGAAAACAATAGCTTCATGACATCACAAGGTGGAATTAAAGAGAATTTTGATCTTTGGAAAGGTAGACGGATTAATAGTAAACGGTTACTCAGTCATGGCTGAATGAAACAAAACACATTTTTGTGTCATATAGGACCTTTAAAGTGCATTTGACAGATTCATATTTTTCTAATTATGACTTTGTTTTAGTATATTCATCTATGAAAAGTAGAAAACAAAAAGTTGGAAAATACAGGAAGTAGGAGTGAGTTAATCTTAAACAGAATACTTCAACTTCAGTGTCATTAACACAAAAAAGTATGTCCCAAATTCAAGGAAGATTTCCACATGAGCAAGGCATTTTTCTGAAAGTTTAAACATTGATTTAACAAAATAAAGGTCACTGTCATTTACTGTCATTTTTATGGAATTACCTGTCTTATCTAGATGCCCATGTTCAGCAAGAAGTAAAATTAACCATCACCAACATCACAAAACTAGAAAAGATTAGACAAGATAATAATAATGTTTTAGAAAAAATAATAATCTAACCTGTCATATGCACTTTAATTATGAACATAAAAAAATAAACATTTAAACAAACAAATTCCTCACTTCATATAATTATATTTTACTTGCATATATACTACATATAATAATATAATAATATACTTTTAAATTAATAAGTGTACGTTTTATTCGGTTTAAAATGAAAACGGAAGTTGCATATGTTACGTATTTTCAATCTTGACAAAAATAAGTGGCGTCATCGTCAGACCACGCCCCGCACAACGCCCATTCATAAAATCACACCGTCGTATTGGTCACCTGAAATTTATATGAATCTGTCAAAAATACATTGCTTTGGGTGGATTTAACGTTCACGCGTGGAGACTGTACCCTAAATAATGCATTAGAAAGCTTAAAACAGCTCTTGGAATAAGAAAAAACATGAATAAATAACTTTGTCCATTGCAAGTCTTGAATTCTTCCACGAAGTAGCAGCAGCGCGTCATAAACGGTCTCCGGAAGTGGGCGGGCACAGGCGGCGCGTGGGTCCAAACATGTCCAGCTTTTGAACGTTTTAGCCTCTTGTCTTTTTTTTTACGGGATGGCGCTTGTTCCTTACGTCGAGAATTCTTTACCGATCCTTTCTAAATTCCACAATGCATCTGCGCAGTTTCGATTTTGTAACCGCGACATAAACATTGTCCAAGACTGGAAGAAGCTCGGAGTGGCTGCAGTTGTATGGGATGCTGTAAGGATTCACTGTTAGTACTATTAATAATGCAGTATAAAAGGTTGTTTTATTTGAATAATTTGTGATTTTTCCAGGCTATTGTGATGTGCATGTATCTAGAACTTGGACGTGTGGAGCTGAAAGGGAAAACTGCCATAGAGCTGGGAGCTGGGACCGGTTTGGTGGGAATTGTAGCAGCATTATTAGGTGAGCAGAACAAGTCGTAGATTGTATTTTCCTTGCCTTCCAGCGCAGTTTTCTTATTTTTCAAGGTGCACTGCGTAGAGTGACCAGATTTTAATTTTAAAAAATTGTGAAATGAGTAATTAAGGAAAATTGTTACGCAGAGACCATTCATGATTAAGATTTGAGTCAGTGTAGTCACATTTTCTTTGTATTTTGGTCATTTTTAAGCAGCTATTTTGTATTTTGCCTAAAATAAGTGACAATTTGTGCCTCTTTACCATTGGCAGGTATCAAATTGGTCAAAAAATAGGGACATTTCTTGTATAAAACTGGGACAAATCACTGGTTTTGGATAAATCTGCTGGGACAGGGGACGCAGGGCTCAAAACTGGGACTGTCCCGGGTAAATGGGGACATCTGGTCACTAACTGTGTAGCATTTCTGGTGTTAGGTTTTCCGCACTTGTCTCTATAAAGATGTTCTTACTTTGTCTATGTATATTTCACAGTTTGAGGAATAAATCTGTAACTGACACGTGCAATAGTAGAGATAACTTGGGTAATATATGTAATCTTACTATAATCGGACTAGCCTCTCCACAGATCAGACTCGTAACTTGGCCTGGTCACAGCAGTCTTGTCTCCATGGAGGCAGTTAAGTCTAATGCCATACTCTGGTACATTCCAAACCAATCAAATAATAAATCAGCATACCTATTGTGCTTAAATTACACTAAAATCAAGTATAAATATTAAAATTACAGTACTATAGCTTGATAAAGGTCTTGGTTTTGGTCTAGTTTGAGTCCTAATCTAGTTTAATCCAGGATTTTTAGTTAGTTTTGTGGTCTATATGCAAGTGTGACCATAAATTAGAACTACATAGACAAAAACCTTCAGTAGAATCAAATATTTTTAAATGACTACGCTTTACTTTTTAGGTGCCAAAGTGACCATCACAGACAGACTCCCCGCCTTGGACTCCCTTTCCACCAATGTCAAATCCAACCTACCTCCAGACATTTCAGAGCTCGCCACCGTTTCTGAACTTTCCTGGGGTGAAAATCTGGACCGCTACCCTGCCGGAGGATTCGACCTGGTTTTAGGAGCTGACATCGTGTACCTCGAAAATACTTTTGTCCCTTTGCTGAAGACTATGGAGCACTTGTGTTCCGATACTACTACGGTTCTGCTTTCCTGCAAAATCCGCTACGAACGAGACACTGCGTTTCTGGATATGCTGAAGCAACGTTTTCGCGTGGAAGAGGTTTACTATGACGAAGAGAGAGACATTCGTAATTTTCAAAGCATCAAAATTGCCTCAGAAAGACGATTTGTGATTTTTTTTTTTTTTGATAATAAAATGATAATGAAAATTTACCAGAAACACGTTTATTAACAGCTGCCAGAAATGTAATATTTGATGCGCTAACAATGTACTGTTTTATACATAACATACAAAATTAATGAAGAGCGACGTAAAAAGCAATATACAATACCTAAATAATACAATATGGCAATCTGTTTACTTTCCCATTCTCTTAATTTTGGTCGCAATTCATAACCTTATTGGGACGTAGATGGACAAAATCTTAAATGCAACCAGGCAACATGATAATAATTCTATACAAAAAAAATCTATATATGGATTTTTCGAGCTTTATAAAGTTGGCAGATATTTTTTTTGCCATTGATGTGAAATGTTTAAGGATTGTATATGCAAGAAAAGTGCAGATGTTACGAGAAATCAGAGAGCCAAATATGATATGGGATTTGTAATATTTCGCAATGACTTTTCTCCCAAGTTCTCGAAGCGTGGCGCGGCTCGTTGCGTTTGGTTTTCCGCTTTAAAAACATCCCGATAGCGATAAAAAAGTGTGCAAAGTAAATCGTTAATTTCTTACACATGCGCCTTTCCTTTTTCGATCCTATATAGAACTTCTCAATAGAAAACTGTACAACTCTCAACTATTTTACAAATCTTAAAATGTTTTTAAAAACCAAACGCAATGAGCCCGGCGCTGTTGGGAAACGAAATCGATTTTTTTCTTCATTTCTTCATTTTTTTTCAAACCATTTTCAAAGCCCTCTAATATTTGTAAAGCTGCGTTGACATCAAGAAGCATCTTACAACTCAACGTTTCACAAGTTTGTTCAAGGCAAGTTAAGTAAAAAAATAATAACAACATTGATGGCGTGATGCAAGCACTTAAAAAAGTAATAGAAGAGAAACACAGCTTAGAGATAAAATGTCCGGCCTACTGTCGAAGCGTTAGTGACACAGTACAGCTCGTGTTGAGAGAATGTGGTGCTTGACGGTGAGTAGGCGGTCCCCCATGGCTGGTGATGTGTCCGTGTGTCCCAGGCAGCAGTCAGCGTCGTCCCTTTGTTGCTCTTCCAAACATCACCGCACCCTTCTTACATGGGGAGACATGAGAACAGATTTCCAGATCATGATGCGCGCACGTGTGTGTGTGTTTGTGTGTGTTGTGATATTCGGAGCAGTTTTTAAAAAAAGAAAGTAGAAAAGTGGGAGGGGCTCTGTACAGGGGTAAGGGCGGGCGCCTGCGAAGCCCTCTGCAGGCGCCGGCTCTACTCCGATTTGTGGCAGTACAAGTCTTTGAGCGCTTTCAGTTCCTCGATGAGGGTTTTGTTCTGGTTCTCCAGCACGGCAACGCGGTTCTCCAGGCATTTTACGTACTCCTTTTTCTTCCTGCGGCACTCGCGAGCTGCCTCCCTGTGTGACATATGAAACGTATTCTTAGAGAGCCAGTGGACAAACTAAATAATACACACCAGGCTTTTGGTTTCAGAACACAAATCAGCACAGCTCTGCCAATATCTATGAACAACGGCTGGAAATATGCATTTGTAATTTTAACAAGCACTGCATTTGGATTCTGTTCTGATAGTAGTTCTGTTAAGTTTTTAAATTGCCTTAACTTTTGGGAGAAGACTGAATTATGAACTACTAGCTAAACCAGGAATCCCCAGGTCTGACTACCCCAAATTTAAGACCACTTAAATGAAAATTAAGACCAACATCGCACCCATTATGCGAGTGAAAAACACCAGATCCAATTCTGATAATGACCAACCAACAAGAGAACTACATCTAGAATCTAAGAGCCACTGTGGATTAAACCTGCACTTCCCCATGATCCATCCAACGTCTTCCTCCACTCTACTGATTGTTTAGTCATTGCAGCCGGTTCGAGAAACCAAAGAATTGCTTGCGCAGACTCGAAATTAGACGTTCATGCACATCAAATGATTTCACGTTATTGTTTTTTTCTTCCCTCCATTTAACATTGCACTGCAGCCCGGTTGAGTTTACAAAAAAACTGGCTAATGAAATTTAAGACCTTTGTGAAAAAAAGACTTGGACAACATAATTTAAGACTTTTTAAGGCCTTAATTTAGGAACATGAAATTTAAGACCCTTTTAAGACTTTTAAGACCGCAGCTCCCCTGTAAACTAATACAAGAATTACATGTATGTTGGAACATGTTTGTAGAGTCTAAACTGCTGGTTTAGCAGGTTTTAAAACACAATTTATTGTATTGACCTTTATTTAACCAGGATAGACCAACACATTACGAATAGAGAGGACCCTATGTTGGTAGAGAAAACCAAAGCACACATAAGAAACCTACACAGGCACAAGGAGAATATGCAAATGGCCCTGTGCCTTCCTGAGAGGGCTCAGCGTTTGCAAATACATTACATTAATGGTGGTTCTGTTCTCTACAAAGAAATTTTGTGATTTGCATGCATCTACAACTTGTAGAACTTTTTGGGAAGTGAAGCAGCTTTATAAGGAGAGTTTGAGAACACGTACAATATAGATAAACTAAGCAGCATTTGGGCAAATGTTTGAAAACCTGTAATTTTCAGTTGTACAATGCATTTTGCTTGCCTTCCGGTGAAATTGTTACTTTTTTAATGGGAGCGCAATGTACATTTTCTGGTGTTTTTGCTACTTTATGACCTTTATTTAACCAGAAGAGTAATGGCATTCTGTTCTCTAAAAAAGAACACAACTTGCACTTTTGAAAACCTTGTGAACTACAGTACAGAAACCAAACTCGAAGGGAGATACAATACAGTGATCATATAGAATATTTCCTGCCCACATACCTGTTCTTCATAAGGCGGACCTCTCTTTTGCGTGTGACCTCCTCGGTGCCGCTTCCTCCCAGAGCGGGGGAGGCTGCCATCACAACCCCGGGAGTGATAGTGCTGGTGGGGGCCGTGCGGATCTGATACGCCTGCACGTCTCCGGAGGCCGCTGCGCCCAGAATAAAACCACCATTAGGTTACGCGCCAAACCGACATTTAGAATCATCGTGACTCATTGTGCTAATCATGTGAGCTGACCTTGTACGACCACCTGGTTGCTGGGCACGAGGATCTGCTGTCCGTCGCTGGTCTGGGCGTACTGCAGGATGGTGGCCCCTGGCTGGGCTCCGGCCGCGTTCATGGTCAGGGTCTGGAGGCCCTGGACTCCGTCTGTGCCGTTGTTGGCGAGCTGGATCGCCCCGCCCTGAGTGATGGCAACTGGGGAGAGGCGAGACACAGGACATTATATACATGGTTCCAGATGACGTTTTAGTTATGCAATGTTTAACTGAGGTGAGGGCAGATTTGGTGGTGTACTTGTTTGGATAAATACATGCAGATATCAGACGTCATCACTAATGCTGTATTCACACACACATAACACACAACTAAACTGGGAATAAACCTGGAACTAAACCGTAAAAGTGCTTTGTGTAACTTTTCTGGTGGAGGGTCTGTCAAATTCTTTTCTCTATGGAGATGTTACTGCTTTGTCTGGAACATTAACCTTTCTATCATCAAGGAGACCAAACCAGACCAAGTTACAGGTCAGATCTGTGGATAGGCAACCCCGTTCAGTCAGAATCCCTGTTTTTGTAGGTATTTCTGAGCAATTTCTAGGCATTTTTGAACAGTAAAGCCAAATGTAATTGAATAAATGCAAGTTAGAGCTGTTCAATGTCATACTGTGGAACATTCCTGACAGAGCAATGATGTATCCATAGAAACGAGCAGGGGACAGACCCACAACCAAAAAGTTACATCTTGCACCTTTAACTAAACCACGATGAAACCACAAGAACAGGACCAAACCAAATCTACAAAGTGAGAGTTGAACCAGAAACAAACCAAGAATTATAACTTCTCCATTTCTGCCTTTTTGTGGTCATGTCGTATGAAACTGTAAACACTGCTGGCCTCTCATTGCTTAGATCAATCAACAACGCTAAAACACATTTTTTTCCACAACCCCTTCTAAGCTGGTTAAAAAAAAAAAAAAAAAGATGTCAACTGAGACATACTGTACTGCCCGCTGCTGGTCTGGTAGATGGGTGTGGGCATGGTGACGGTGGTGATGGCTGGTGCAGTGTCGTCCTCCGATTTTTCCTCTTCGATGCGAGGCACTGCTGGAGCGTCTGATGACAGGTCGTTCAAGATTTTCCTGTAGTAAAAAAAATATATATATAGTTACAGCCAAAATACACAACTTTCTCTCAGCTGGTATCAAAGTTTTCATTTCTATCAAACCTGTATGAAGGGCGCCTCGAAAGGATCTCCCGTCGTTTTTGAGAATCGGTCACGCTGTCTACGGACTCCTGCGAATCCTCACTTTCTGCAACTGTGGAAATCTGTACAGAAAATAACCTGCATTAGCTTTGATTCACAGTGATTTCTGATTTTTTTTAAATGTCTGAAGCCCTTCCTGTGTTACAAGCGCATAATGATGGGTCAGCTCTATCGTAGGTCATCATGCCTGCTTCAGAAGTGCTTCAAAATGCCACTGGTGCGTAGGCAATATAAACACAGGCAGGGATGCGTCATAAAGCGCATTGGTGAGGTCTGAACCACCAACTCTCCAGTTATTGGGTGACTGTTTTCACATTTTTCCATGTAAACTTTGTGGCGTAGGATCTTTATGAATCATTTTATGAAGAAGAAATTTGAGGATAAAATGTCAGATATTGTTTCCATTTAATCTTATTACACTTTTTTTTTCATTGCTCAGGATATAAATATTTCTTTTTTAAGTGAGTAACTGCTATAAAGGGAAGCAACAGCGAATGCTTAAAAGGCGCATTGTGCAACTTTTCTGGTGGAGGGTCCGTCACCTGCTTGTTTCTATGGAGATGTCATTGCTCTGCCTGGAATGTTCCACAGTATGACAGTAAACAGCTCTGCCACACATTTATTCAATTTCAGGTGATTTTATAGCTCAAAAAAACCAAGGAAAAACAGGCATTTTGAACTGTGAGCGGGGACGCCTCTCCACAAATCTGAAAAGTTCCATCCTCCACCAGAAAAGTCACACAATGCCCATTTAACCCACTGTGCCAGTAAACTGCATCTGCTTACAGGCCTGACACGATAATTACTCAGTATTTATCATATGTACATTTTCTTTGTAAAAATCAGCACTTTAGTTGTAATGCAATAACATATGAGCTGTACAGGGTTGAATAAGTAACTTGTATGGTTAATAATTCGTTTATTCTGTTATTTATCTGTTACAGCTCAGGCCTTTTAATGACACTGTATTTAAAAATAGTTCACTGGAATTATTTTGCATTATTGTTATTGTATCAGTGTCATAAAGCAGTCTCAGTAGTATCATTTATCTCACTAGCAATATATTGTGCTTGAAAATTTGATATTGTGACAGACCTACTTGCTTAAAACATCATTAAACTTGAACATTATTGATCCAGAAAGGAAATTATTTGATTACAACTGATAAAAAAGATAGTCAAAAATATATTCTTATAACCAAGCACAAACAATAGAACTTACAATAGAATACAGTTAGTGTAATAGAAGAAATATGTGGTGGAAAAAGAACAACACAAAACACTGATAATTACACTAGTCCTTCTCACCTGAACAGTCTGTACTTGTGGACTCTGGATGACCGATGGCTGTGCGGTTTGGATGACCCCGTGCACCTGTACCGTCTGCCCGTTGGGTAACTGCACCAGGGTCACTGTGGGACTGCTGGAGGAAACCTGAGCCGCTGCAATGGATGCCTTTCCCACGCAACACAATAGTCAGACAAATTGTACAAAATGAAGAGGTGGCTGATATGTAGTTAGCAGAATAACATAATAGTTTTATTGAATAAGTAGACTGTTGAGTCGCTTTTTGTGAGAAGAGATTGTGATAAGATTCTGATGACACATCCGCCCGTTTGTGGTTAATTCTACAATTTGCTCAATCTTAGGGAGTACTTAATCCTCAACAAAGACATTTACAGGAGAGATTGAGCACATTTCTGATAAATAATATATAAAGAAGGTACAGTACATGACAAGTTTGAGGTAAGCTGTGCAAGTTCATTTAAAGCCGCAGTATGTAACTTTTTAGCCAAAAAAATAGATCAAAATGAAAGCATGTTTTTCATTTTTGGTTGTGTTTATTGCACTGTAAAAAATTAATTCTTACTGTGAGGGGGTGTGCATCTCCACACCCCCTCATCTGTTTTGACTCATTTTCAGCCTGGAGGAGGACCTCTTCCTGATTGTTTCCATGGAAATGTGGTTGATTTAGCTATAATATCCCACAGTATCTATCTCTATGAAGAATGTTCTGAAGTATGGTTTTATCTTTCTACTTCCATGGAAACATGCAGGTGATGTGCCTCTTCCAGAAAGTTACATAGTGTACTTTTACCGTATTTTTAATCAACCATAAAATGAGTTTGCAGTGAAGTTTACCTGGGTCAGTGTAATTTGTTGGGCTTCGGACTCAGCAACAGCAGTTTCTCCCTGCTGTGTTTCTGCACCAGTCTCCATGCTCATTTACAATCTAAAACAAATACAGAAAATCAGGAGCTTTGCATGCACAGGGATCAATGAAAACACTTGCACAACACATTCAAGCACTCATCAAGTGGCTATTGGCAAACAAAGTGTGGGCAGGCTCATGTTTGACTATTTCACTTCACTGGAGGGTGTGGCACTACTCGAGTTTTAGCACACATTCATTCAAAAAATTAATTACGTGTGAAGTAATAACAATAATAAAACAAAACACATAGTAGTTTAAATATAAAGTAGCTTTTATGCGCATAGTTTAATTAGTTTACATTTTCTTCGAAGGGTAATGCTAAATTCGTGGTTGCTAAAGTGTGTTAGCTTGAGTTAGCACGAGGCTAAACAGTGCCTTTTTGCATGAGCTTTTCCATTGACTCTTGTTAGCATGCTAGCGGGCTATGAGTCATTTGAATGCATGGGCTAGTCGCTATGTAAGAGCTATTTAAAACCATTATATTTAGCAATTGGTGACTCACAATGACAACGAGAAAGATTGTTGGTGTCTACGTGATAAGTACGTGTGGTAGGTTTTTAAATTAAAAGCTGTCAACAAATAAATAAGCCTGAAGTGTATTTGGAGGGAAATGTCTGCAAAGCATTGTAAGGCAGTTTTTTTTACTACCAGGGAACCCCACTTTCACTGAAGGCTCTATTATTTAAGGTTTAGCCCAAAGCGAACCATGCGCACAAAGCTCAGATGCACAGTTTAATGGATGTTGCAACAGTAATTCACACAATCTGAACCCTATGCCCCGCTCCCAGAATAAATACCTAAGTATGTTCAGAGTGAGCCGCTGTGCAGACTGGCTCATTTAGTTAGCCTGTGCAAGCCCCGCCGCCATGATCTCTTTGTTGGCTTTGTGCGCCTACAACAGCAAACGCACGTCTCCGGGCAGCCATCTAGCGCGATCTGTTTAGGAGCAAACATCGGACGCGTATATCCTCTTACCAGCACACACTCGCTTCGTCACTCCCGGGTCCACGGAGCTCCACTTTTATTCAGACCGACACGTAAGAGACCGCGTCAGGCTACACCTCCGTCGCGTCACCGAGAACAACAACACGGAGAGGACGAGGCGCACGACGACAGCAGCACAGAAATCAGCTCTATCGACAGCAGCCGAGAGGAGCCGAGGAGAGCCGAGAGGAGGCGCTAACTAGCGGAAAAATACGAACTGTTCCGAGGACTGGCATCGCTATTTCCGAAGAATGCCGAAGATGGTTTCTTTCCTGTCCATGCGCCTTCATTGAAATGCCACTGGGGTACTCAACTGTGTTTGGGAAACTTCACTGGGGTCTTTAATATGAATAGTATTGACTTTAATAGGACAGCAGCTCCCAGTGGGAGGCTCAGAGGCACTGTAGGGGGCCCCTTAAGGTTACCCAACACAAAGAATCTTTAAATGAGTAAGTCATCTACAGCCATTATTATTTATATTTTTATAGTCAATAGAAATCTTAAAGGAAAATACATTACATTGTGTATTATTTTGAAAAGAATGTGAAATATTCATCTATTTCCTATGGTTGATTGAGGCTATACGAGACCCTATTATAAAACAGACAACTTACTTACAATTTTCAATAATACAGCCAATACACTTGTATTTCTTTATTACACAGACAGTGCATGTTGACTGTGTAATATGCAGAGTTAGCCAAGAGGCTGGTTTTGGTTATAGGCCTACAGTGGAAAGTAACTGGTGTGTTCCAAACTTTTTGCACAAATGTCCTGAACAAACTGAAGAAAGCACTGTAGCTCTCTGATTGTGGATATGTTTAAACATCAGTCCTTCCACTGCCATTTATCATAAAAGAATCATCAGACTGGCATCATGAAATTGAAGAGTTCATTTGCAGAACCAGATCTCTTTTGTCAAAGTTTTTTGTCTTCTATAAATCTATTCTATATTATTATTTACTGTAGCATATATTTGGGGGTATTTGCAGAAGAAGGGATGGAATGGCTTTAGAAATCACTGCTACAGACAAAAGTTAATAAGCAGACCATTTTTCAAAAGACACTAATCTGTGTTTGCAAATGAACTCTTCAAATAGTCTATAAAGATCCAGGCTTTGAACGTCTCTTTTAAATGATCAGATCCCACACATCAGTCGCCCATAAGAGCGTGTCAGATCCAAAGCTCTACAGCTTATTTGTGATACTGATCAGATCTGAACAGACCTGCTGGCAAAAGCAGAATATAATGTGCTTTCAGTGGAGACATCTGGATAGACAGACCAAGAGAATATCATAAAAAGAGCGGTTAGACTGCTGCCCCCGCGATTCGGCCTCGGATAAGCAACAGAAAATGGATGAATGGAAAACGACTGGTCTAAAGATAACACACAACTGTACTTTACATTTACTTCATAGGAGATTATGAATGCCTTTTTATGATGGCAAAATTTTGAATTTTAGGTTCTAAACTGGACAAATACTTACAGAAATGTTAATCTCACAATAATCTTTCCTTTTATGTTTTATGTTAGGCCTAAAGGGCTATATTTGTCTCTGTGCAACACCTCAGTCGTCAAGGTTCTTTCACAAGAACAGTTGTCAACAGTTAACAGAAATCAGTTTTCTTTTGTGATAGGCCACATGCTTTTACCCTAAATTATACTTTGTGTGAAACTAAACTACAATTTTGAGATTAGGACATTTTTTTCCATTCTTCGTAACAGACAGAACTAAACTAACTGACATTTCTACCATGGATACTTCAACTTTCAACTTATTTGCTGAACTCCAGCTGGTTTTGAACCTGAAAAGCTGAAATTCTCTCAGCCAATCATGAAGGAGTGCTAGTGCAGCCTCTGCAGCTCAGTAGGTGAATTCTGGAGGTTCTGAGGTTTCATGTGAGGCACGGTCTGTCCATATACTGAGAATGAGCCAAACTTGGATGTGTCTCTGCAGGTGAAGGCTCTGGAGACACAGGTTGTGTTGTAGTACCTTTAAAACAAACAAAAACAAACAACAACCAAAACTGTAATTCACCTACATATCAACCACATACAGCTCATTTAGTTCACAATAGTGGATACTGTCTATGTCAAAAATGTCTGTAGTACCTCTTATACCAACTTGTCTTATTACCGAATTAGGACAAATTAACTAGAAAAAAAACATTTACTCAAACATTCTAACAGTAACAAACAAAGTAACTAGGGGCATAACAATACCCAAGTCTCATGATACAATATTGTCACGGTATGAACCTCACGGTACGATATTTATTGTAATATCATGGGAAAGCTCACGATATGGTGGGGAGGCTCACAATTTGTGATGTAACAATATTCAAATCTCTCAGTACGATATTTTTATGATATACATCTCACATTATGATATTTTTTGCGATATTTTGTGGAGGCTAACAAAATATGTTACTTTTTCCTTTTAAAATGCATTGACAAGACTTAATCCAAAGAACTAAGACTTAAAAGTGCTTAGAATTTCTTCTTGTAGTCTACACTGAAATAGAGCAAAGGATCATGGTCTATGTAGTTTTCTTTATCTTTTTTTGCACCATAACTCTTAATTTAAACAAAGAGACTTGTAATTCTATATATTGTGATGGTCCACGATATTTTTGTGAGAACTTTGACGATACGATATCACAATATTTCGGTTATTGTTACATCCCTGAAAGTAACATTTAAAATTTTGCACCAAATTTATCCATGCAATAATGATTTAATACGATTAATAAAAGTTAATATGAAACAACCACAGAATCTGTTTGCCATTTATCAATTTATACAATATTTTTGGATAGAACTTGACAAAATTATTAACACAAATATAAACAACTAAACCAATCGAATAGAAACAAACCAATATTGATAGTGCACTGACATTACACTGGGTTGTTCTGCATGTATGTCTATGGTGGAATGTTCAGCAGTTTCCATGGTGATAATGCTGACACAGCCCAAAAAATTTGAAAATCATCTGTAAACTCAAGAAAAACTACAAAATGGTTAATGACTGGATTATTCTTGCTTTGCTCACTAGGTGGCAGCAGAGCACTTTGTCCCACTCCACCTCATTACCAACAGTCTCTTCCATGCACTGCTATTCCAGCCACTTTCTACACATATGTTCAGCGTCTGATTTACGTGAGCGCTGACGTCTTCTCCTGCTAATGAGAACCCCACAGACCCTCCATATTTACAACCACGGCCGGGCTCCGTATCGCATTTCTCCGCCATAAAACCCCCTCATTATACCATCTTCTTCTCTTTCTCTTCGCTTCTCTGTGTCCGAGACGAAATTGGACGGAAACAGCTGGTCGGAAAGGAATCCTGAAGGGGGACATAAGGTTTCGGACCAATTTATGGCTATCATCTCAACACGCGAGGTCGTTTTGGAGGGATCTCATTGGCCGGGCAGTATAAACGTCCTCACCGATTGGCTGATTGACGGCTTTTGACATATTTAGGCCGGTCGGTGTCCTTCAGAGTGACCAGGAGAGTGAGGGGATGGGAGAAGTCTTAATTTTCTGAGACTAGAATGTGCGCGTGTGTGTATGTGTGTGTGTATCGATTGCTAGTGATTGCATTGGGCATTGATTTTCTATAATATAAGCTACAGACAGGCCAGAGAAGAGGGAGGGATTAGCAGTACAAGTGAGTGACGGGGCTAAGGTCACTGCACATTCTACATTATTGGGTTCTAAGGGAGAAATGGTGCTATTTTGGACGCATTTTCAAAACCGCTGGTCGGTCATATCGATAGGTAGACTACACCGGTATTAAAGGTGCTCTAAATGATTTTTACTGTCAATAAAAATGGTTTGCAGTGGTCTCAAGTTTTTCCGCACTTACCTTACGCATTCAGAACATCCTAATTATTCACCATGATGAGTTTATAAGCGCTTTTCACAACTTTCAGAAGCCAGAGCTGAGTTTTGCAGTCACAGTAAAAGAAAAACAACAACTCAACTAGCATGCTAACCACACAATTCAAGTTTCATGGTGGATAAAATGCTTCATAATTAGATGCCAACAGTAAGCAGCAGACTTATTTTCACCACAAGAGCTGCATTATAATATCTGTACTGGTGCAAAACAGACTTGACTTAAGCTTCGTTCAGTTGCTCAATTCAGATTTTTTTGTGAAGTCAGATTTTTTTTGTAAGGTCGTTCACATGTCCAATTAAATTTGACTTGTATGTGATCTCCAGTGTGAACTATAAACATCCCAAAAGTGTCCCGCATGAGCACTGGAAAACACGACGACGTCAAACGCAGCGAGTGTGCTCAGTGTTTACGGAAGTCGCCTGCATTGACCAACTGGAGATGTTAAAGTCGCTGTTGTACCGGAGCCAGAACATGTACAGCTTATGAGTTTTAGGGAGGACATTGACAAGGAGAAGGACGAGATTTTTGACCGTGGAGTTTTGTGGGGAAGTGGCAGCAACGTCCATAGAAAGGAACGTGTGGGTGCGGAGTCACAGTCGAAAGTGGTGGGATTGATCTGTGCTTCACTGCTTCACTGACATGGAGTTCAGTCACAGTTTTCATATGATGAGAAGAACTTTAATGTACATTTGTGAGCGCCTACTTGATGTGTAGGTGGGATGAATACGACCTGGCCGTTCAGACTAAAGTCGCATGTCAAAAGATTGAATATGTATCGGTTTTAGGGGCACATATCCAAATGGCCAGGGTCGCATTTGAAAAAATCGGATCTGCGTCGTTCAGACTGTCATTAAAAGATCAGATACAGGAGCATAGGAGCGAAAAAAATCTGATTTAGGTCACTTCAAACTGCATTCTGAACGTAGCCTTAGTTGAAAAAAAAAAATCAGGTACAGGCCCTTTAATCTTGACATGATTCATAGATTGTTGTGATTGATGTGTTGTTGGAAAAGACACTTCCACCCACCTTGCATTGTACTGTATATGGACTTGGCGTGCATGAGGAATTGGACCACCATCTGCTATCAAAAAGAAAATGGAAATAAATACACAATCGGTGAAGTATCTTGCTCAAGGGCACATAATGGTATCTGTAGAACAATCTATAATATTAGAAAACTCACAAATACAAATGAATCTCTACAGAAAACTCTACAGCAGGGGTGTCAAACTCATTTTGGTCCGGGGGCCGTATCCAACC